TTGAAATCTCAAGGAAACGCGATTTTCGTAGCGACTGTCATCTGGAAATTATACGCGTGGGCAAAATGAAATTGCAATTAACTCGAAAAGCGCTCACCTCTCTGTGCCATTTACCAAATTAGTGACCTTCTTAAGCAAATACCTACATATCCTTCAAACAATCTTGAGAGAAAATATTCATAATCGAAGGCTATTCAGAAAATTACTTCTCCTTCTCTTAAAGACTCCACATGATGATTTGGATTCCTCTTCATTTGGAATTGCTGCCTATAATAGGCAGCATGGAATTTCAAATACTTGTACCTAGAAGTACTCACTCCCCGTATTATCTAGAATTATTACAATAATCTCGGAAGCACTTTTCTGCCAAAAATTTGGCTTGAAATGGGTAATATATGTGGCATATAATCGAGATGTTCGTTCATTGTCTGCACTGACAAAGATTTTGGCATAAATTGTATACATATAGTGTCGATGCGTATCATTCAAGTGTGGATCAAAACTCGTGGAGATCACGTGTGTTTATACCATTCAAAACTAGTCCCAATTGAAGCGGTTTTTATACAGTAATTTCTAAATTCAAGAGTCTATAGGCCGCACAAGCCAAACACTCATTTCAACGGCTATTTCGGGAGAAAAATAGCATAAATTGCTATAGAATGTGATCTCTTCAAAAGAAAAATATTGCGTAAACAGGAAATGTGATATAAGCTGTACAGAAATTTTCAGAGATATGAGCAGAATTCCCCCTCGAATAGATATTGAACAATTTTAAAAAACTATTAATGAAACCTGACGGAGCTGCAAAAGATTCAAAAGTTCGTGTAGCAAATTTAAATATGCTTTGCAAATAGGCCAGGCCTACCTTTTTAGATCATCAATTTCGAGGATGTGCCGCATTTTGCCAGGAAAGCGTTCAATTACAGAGCGATGTATCATAATTTAAGTTCGTGTAGCAAATTTAAATATGCTTTGCAAATAGGCCAGGCCTACCTTTTTAGATCATCAATTTCGAGGATGTGCCGCATTTTGCCGGGAAAGCGTTCAATTACAGAGCGATGTATCATAATTTAACTCGTAAAAAGGTGGCGGGGGCGGAAATAAACCTTCTGGGAAAGAAGGCGGAATAAGACGCATCAGAGACTAATATAATGAAGACCCAATGGAGCTGTAAAAAGAGCTAGTCTCGACCCAATTATAGGCGAAACACCGATCCAGAACCCACCAGGAAGACGCGATATGGACGCGTGCAAGAAAACCCATATAGATGATGAAGCGGATGGTGCTGGAAGGCAATGAGTCGACACCCCTAATATAATCGTAACAGGGCGTGTAAGAGCGACTTATTAAACTCCATTAGAAGCCAGTTGAAGGAGAAAACCCCCCCAGAGAAGCGAGTCGCTTTTAATCGTGGCAATCAATCGCAGCAGGGGAATGAATGAGTTTCTGACTCGTGATTCCGTGAGATGACGACCAGCAAAAAAGGTCTCTTTTTCTTATTGCCGCGGTCATCGTCGCCCGGCTGCCCGCGAGATCGTAATTATCCCCCCCAGATTACTCTATCTTCTTGCTGGATTCATTTTTAAAATTCTCTCACATTTTTGAAGCTAGAAAAGTAGAAAGAAAAACGTATTCAAGCGATTTTTTTCTCAAATTTCTAGGATAAAACTCAGGTGCAGCCTTGGAAGATCACTTGACCTCACGCGCGATTGAAATTGTTCTTCTTGTCATTTTTATTACAGTAATTCCTTTCAAAGGCTCAAATAAATTATCAAAGCACTCAAACTTGAAAAAAACATGGTTTTGTGTCACTTCCATGCAATTATGGACCCCGCAGAATTAACCCCTTTTAATTTCGCAAAAATAACTCTATATAGGACGGTGTTTCAATGTAGAATGTTTTTTAAATCAATAAAATTTAGCCGCCATGTGTACAATTTTAAATCACACTCTATTCCTTCCTCTTTTGGTACGATACAGTATAACGTAATTCGATTTTGTTTTCTTCTTCACAGCGTGATATCTTCAGCTGGAATTGTTTTCTGTATTGAAAAATATACAGGATGTGTAGTTTTTGAATTACTGTGCAGGAATTTTCCGAGAAACAACCGCATTTTCTTAAACGATTCTAATTTTTACACCCGACCTTGAGCATTTTATTTGCCTCCAAAAATTGCAGTCCAAAATCCGGATGCAGTCCAAATTACCTGAATTACTAGATTTAATTCCCGCCGGTCACCTCGTAGATTCATTGTGTAGACAATAGTATTGCTGTTCATAGATTGTAAGGTTGTCATCGGAATATTAGGAGAATGAGCATAGTTTATACTTTAGAGTGTAGATTATCTAAAATAAGACACTGCCTGAATAAATCACGAAAATATATTTCGTGCCTTGTGCTCATTTTCGAAGATGAATGCGTCTAATATGCAGACGAGTTCGGCGAAAATTCCAGTCTTTTTCAATTTAAAATTTTTAAAAACCATGAATTGTCCAACCGCGCCATGACCCTTTTGACAAAATTTTGTATGTGAACTTTCTTTCTTTTTTACTTCAGCTGATTTTAAATAACCTTTGTCGTTCTTCCGGGATAATACGAATATACAGGTAACTTCCTGATGAGCAGAACACGGTACAAAATTGCACTCATACAACCCATTGCAGCATATTGAAACTGCATATATCATCCGTGTTTTTTTTCGGGGTAGTATTCATGAAACCATCGCCTGTATAGATTGTGATTGGACTTTTTTCACGAATAGACTCTTATACAGTAATTAGAATGGTGCGTTTGAATTCCGAACTGAGGAACTCTGAGATTTGTTTCGCCCAGAAATTTCGGAAGTTCCCCAAGTTGGTCGCCGGGATTTTTTCTGTTCTGCGTTTGTGTGTGTGTGTGTGTGTGTGTGTGTGTGCGTGTGTTTAATCTGTTTTTTTATGAATAACCATTGTCACTTTACCGGGGTTCAGAGGAAGAAAGGAAAGCTTTTCCACACCGAAGTCATGGTGGATCGCGAAGGTGAGAATCGTGTTGCATGGGCCTCGGCTGCGTCCAGCTGAACCCTGTCATTCTGCCCTTCGGTCCCATTCGGTGATGAACGAGTGTCGCCCATGATTTGTGGGGCTCATATATATATATATATATATACAGTTCGTCTTGTGTGAACCGAGTGGAACTTACATTGCAGCCACACCTTTCCAGAGTCATTTTTAGAGTGTGGATTCAGACCCCGAACGAGGACTCTTATACATCAGCACCTTCTATTGCTGGTGATGTAAAGCTCATTATTACAGCAGCCTTTGCTCGTTGCTGAACGCCCACTATGCTGATGATGTTGAGATTTTATCCGGGTAAGAAATGACAGCTCAGAATTTAAGATTCATTGGTGCTCGAGAGTACCTTTGAAGCGATGGTTTCCTTGGAAAAAGCAAACAATTTTTTTTCGATTTTCAACTGTAGGTGATGCTTGAGTCACGTACTGATGCGCTTCAGACGAATGACCAATTTCTCGCTCTAAATACATACCCGTACACGTTCGAATTTGCGAAAAGTATTCACATTTGCAACAAGTAAATTCCCTTCAACTCTTCGAATTTATAAATACAATATTTATTGATACCAATAGTTTCAGGGTGTTCGAAACGTATACCTTTCACTTCAGCCTTATATACGGCCTTCTGTATACGAGCGGTTTACGAAAAAGAGCTTTTAGTGAGCTTCCGGGTAAAATCAATTCGAATTTGATCTATCTACATTTTTTAAAAGAAAAATTAACAGGAAAATGAAGCTTCGAACTTGAATTCGAATTTTTTTTTCGAGGTACCATGTAAAAGAGAAATTTAAGCAAAACTTGAGATTTTTTCTGAGTATAAGCCAACCCAAAATTCTTGTATGTTTGTTGTCGAAAATATGCAAGGAATTTAGAGGATCTCTAGATTAGCAGGAAATAGCTCTGAGAACGTTGAAACCTTCGATAAGGTAAGTGAAATTGTGTGCCAATTGCTGTTTGTTGCGACAGGGAAACTAAGGAAATTTTGAATATTATTTTAAAGAGTTCTGATATGCCTTGAGCCCCTCAATCTTTTGAACAATTTTCAACTTGTGATTATGAATAAAGTATAGATCTTCAGTGCTGGGGGATAATTCTAAAATTGAATAATTATTAATAAATGATGCAGAAAAAGTTTACTTTTGTGATAATTGTATACTTCTCTTCATTTACAAATCGAATTTTGAGCAGGGAAATGTTTTAGATTTGCATACGGTGTGCGACTACATTGCGAATTAAATATCCTCGGATGTAGGAATCCATGTGGACCAAAATATTGTAGTTGATTCTTTTCCAAGTGCCCCAGCTGAAATGCAGTGACTTTTGTTGCTCATCAGTGACATCAAGTATCCGAGGCTCAAAACTGATTGATCATTCTTTTTTTCTTTCTTTTTTGTTGCTGATTCGACACATGGGTGTACAGTATATACGAGGGTATAGGTTCATAAGTTTTGCAACTTTTTAAAATAGATCCAACACTGTTTGAACAATTCCAACATTCTTTTAAACTTGTATATCCCGATCATTCGGCGACACTTCAGTGCTGTTCAACATTCTCTCCACCGATTTCAGTACTGTACATTTTCTCATGCGATAAATCGAATGATCATAACAGGGCCAAAAATTGAATTCCATTAGTTATTCAAGCTGCTCTTTGATGGCAGAAATGAGGTTGTTCCTATCCTCAAAAATCAGTCCCTTTCAAATCGATCTTCACCGCCTGGAACAGCCAGAAGTCGCCTGAAGTATTTTAAAAAATAAATTACCTTTTTTTGCTCAATTTAGAAAATGCAAAAATCATTGATGAAATCGTTGATCGGTGGAGAGTATGTTGGACAGCACTCAGTGTTTCTAAATGATGGTGCAACGTAGATTAAAAAAAATTGGAGTTGTTGAAAGATATTTCAAAATGTTGCAAAACTTATGAACCAACCGTCGCACAATGAACTCGTTATTATTATCGTTACAGGCATCAAACGGGTGTCTTCCGAAAATCCGTATATATATATAGTCGTCACAAAGTGGCCCGAGATTAATTACTAATCCCGGACTCATTTCCTTATTTCGAAAATAATGCTCACGTCGATTGCATCGAGAACCTCAGCTGGGTATCGCGGGACCTCCACAGCAGCAGCAGGGATGCCCATAATTACGAAATCGAGGCGGAAATTCTCTGGAACGAGTTCCAACTGGATTGTGATATGGCTGACAGCATTAGTAACTTGTTCGTTGTCCGGATCAGTGGCCGGTCGATGCACCAGCGACAGTCTCGTTTTGTACAGAGCCGAACTGACCACCAAGTGGTCCCGAGACGCCTTTCCCAAGCATTATCCCGAATGGCGACCACCGGCACAATGGACTAAATTCATTGGTGAGCATTCTAAAATACTGCAAAACAAAATGGCCGCAAGCCAAACCCCAATTTTAGGTTGGGAAACTTTCAGCTGCGGCCTATATGTCACTAAAAAACGCGAGAAATTTCAGCAATCTAGAAACCGAAGTTTAGGCCGCACGACAGATCTTGAAACTTTTTATGCAATATCCCGGGTTTGCAGCAAATTCACAAAACATTTTGAACTTTCAAATTTGGCCTACACATGCGCAAAGTCGATAATTGATCGTGATGAAAAACTTCTGTGCTTATTTTATGCATAGCTTAATTTAAAAGTCGAATATTATAGAGGATGGACATGGTTTAAACTTATTTCATACGATCTGTGACTACATATCAAATTAGAAATCCTCAAACGTTGGAATCCACGTGGACCAAAATTAGCATTGGTGCTGATTCTTTTGGAAGTGCTCCACCTGAAATGATTGAAAAAATTGATTTTTTTCCCATTCGTGGTTCTGACTGCAGTATCACGATCAATACATTTTGAACAATGACGGATGCACTGCGACGGATTATTGATTATGATTAAATTATTGATGTATTGTCCCTGCCGTTAGGCCACGGCGTTTATTGCTTTAATGTAACGAATTTTTCACTATATGGGCGATTTTTCTGGTCCCATTGTTCCAATTACTTCGTTGTTGGAAGAGTCTACAGCAAACAAATTAAAAGAAAAGAAAACATTTTAAAGAGTAGAAATAGCGAGTAAAATTCATGCGAATAAAACTCGTCAAATGATGTCAAATTATGCCGTCCCTGTATGAGACCACGCGTCACTCGGTTGTAAAATAACTCGTTATTCTGTAATTATGAAATTATCTGAGTAATTCTTTTGTCATTTCGTGACGTAAAGGAAGGTCCCACGATGACACATTCTCGCTTTTCCGAATCGGAGAAACTGCTTCGGAAGGTATGCAGTCGTTTGCAGAATCTGGTCGATCCGAATTGCTTGACGAACATGCGCAGGTTAGTTTTTGCCTCGTTTTTATAAATAGTAATTGCTTTTATTTTTGAACGCTACAAAAATTTCTACAAACAATGGCAAAGCTTCACAAGCCTTCACTCGATTAATGATTAACTTCAAATTTGTCCCCGTATATTCAAAAGAATTTTAAAGACTATGCAAATCACAAATGACGAATTAAACTTGCATTGAGAGAAAAATATGTATCGTACTAATTGAAACTAGGACTTACTTCCGCAAAATTTTCATCGAAAATTAGGGTTCGTCGTCTCATATTAATTATGTCTTAAGTTTGATGGGGCTTTAGATTTCCATATACTAACTCGTACTACTAACCATGCACGATTTTCCTTGAACTGTGCAATATAAAAAAACGAAGAAATCATATATTCTGAATATTATTTAACTAATTCTACAATTTCTACGACTAAGGACATGCGTGAAAATACAGTATCTTAATATGTAATTTTTTTTAGTTCTTGATGAGGAGTATAAGTCGTTAACTAAAACACGAGTGAATTCGAAGCACTCTTCTGATCCTGAAAAAAAATTGAATGTGATGAAAAGTCATTTTGTACATTCTCAAGAAATCTTTTCAAGCACAAAAGCAGCAGGTTCCTCTCAAATTTAAATTTTAACATTTTGCGATAGAAACTACGCGTTGGTTTTTCTCACTTTTTCAAGCGATTTCGCGTTTTTCGACGTTAATCCCTTGATATAAAAATTTTAAAATGCATTGCCCCAGGGCAAGGATGGCATTTTAGATTCGTTCGCCGGTCCCGCAATCAGCCAAGGCGCCGGGAAGTCTAACGCCGAGTTCTTCGCTGATGCGAATCATACTCTGGTGAGTAATCCCTTACTAATTATATTATTGTAATCGAAAAAAATCTGTTCATATATTTAACAAACTGTAATTTTTTAACGTTTTTGAAGGTGTCCTTCGCTAGCAGAATTGTACCGTCTCCGGACTGGATCATCGGCATGGACAGCTTGAATTTGTGCGCCGACGGTCGATGGGCTGACGTCATGTCGGTCGAGGTCAGTCGGCAATTACTGTTTTACTATAGATTTTCCAAAAATCTTCAGCAATAAAAAATGATTAAACAACGTTATCCTCGAAAAAGGCAGCATTGAGAAGAAAAAAAAGCACTGGTTGATGCTTCGATTTGTCGAGCAGCTTGGTAAATGTGCTTTGAAATTCGGCGGTGCCGAGTTTTGGCACTTGAACTCCGATGAAGAAACTATAGAACTGTTTATTGTCTTCTCTTTTTTTGTGGTTGATTTTCTAGAGTTTTTTGTGCCCCAATATAGGATCGGTGATGTTTTAGCATAAAACGGATTATTAAATCGAATATTTAAAGTTTACTATAGCCGCGGTCCATCCATTTCTCGAAATTGAAAATGTATTGAAAATTTTCACTAAAAAAATCATAGGCTACCAATTTTAGAGTCAGTTTATTTCACTTATAGTTTCCAAATTGAATAACTGCATTCAACTCAACTTTATTGAGCCTAACGTTATACGGCCATTAATTGTATTGTTTTTAGCATCAGTACTTTTTTCAAGTTCAATCATCGTTCTCAACATAAATTTCGTATTAATAATAAAATTTTATGCTACTCTGAATGCAGGATTAATTTATGAAAGACAGTTGAAATTGATGGAACGGTGTCAAAGTGTTGAATAAAATGATGACGGTGAATACAGTTTTCATTGTTAGGTGATATTTGTGTGCCTTGAAAGCCGATTAAAATTCTTCTTGGTTGTTTTTTTATATTAATAAATGATTTGAAACTCAGTCAATATTGCAAGGCAAGTCGGAATTGAGTGGTTTCAGCCAATCTCTAATCATGGTTTCTTGGGACTCTGCTGGACCATAAATACAGCAAAGGAACTATAGAAAACTGCTAACCGTATAAATTTTTTGTGGATGGTTTCCTGGGGTTCTTGGCAACCCAACGTAGAACCAATGATTTTATAGCAGGACACGGAATAAATGCTAAGAGAAATGTTCTTCGCTTGAACATACGTTCTTATTGAAGCAAAAAAAAATTCGCCAATTGTCACATGAATTAGGAATTTGGGTTCATTTAAAAATCTTTTCAGATGCAAACATTTAGAAAGCATTCAAAAATCTAAAAAAAAAAAAAAAAAAAAAAAAAAAAGAAAAAAAAAAAGACGAGGGACTCGAATTTCGGGGCGCGTTTCGCGAAAACAAGTCTCAACTCGTCGTCGCTCGCAACCTAGACACCCGTTGACCTTTAATTCCGCGGAACCAGGGCTGATGGTGTGTCTCATCGCCAAGTGACGACAGGGATTGAGTGAGCAGTGTCGACTCACACGCTGACGACGTCGTGCGCAAACCCTTTAATGCGCGGTTGTCGTCGCTCTTGCCTCGTCCGTGTACACTCGTCACGATATATACGAGCTGTCGACGTTACGTCTGATGGCTTCGCGCGGCTCTGGTGGTGACGACGACGACGACGACGACGACGGCAAGCGTCGAAAAGTCTGGTTCACCACTTTCGTTTTAGGCGCATTTGTTTATTTCAACGGAATCTAAATCACGAATCATAAAGCTTAACTTGTGATTCTTTCCCTGCATTTACCTTTAAATTAAAAAGCATAGTAATAAAGCTCAGAATAACCTTAGATAGTTGGTTTTATTCTCAAATAAAATTGTATCTTGGGTTTTATTCTTCGGGTAGGATTCGAAGAAAATTCATTCATATTTTACCGCTTCTCGGAAAGTAAATTTTTCTGTTGCAATAGATTAACAGTTGTAAACTCAGCTCTAGATAATTTTTCTCGAGGGCAAACATGTTTGAATTTCTTTTCCGCACGACCAAAAACAGCACTTTTCGATGCGAATGAAAAAAAAATATTTTTTTTTCTAAATGTTTTATCTTTCCTCAAATTCCCAACTAGTATATTCGTTTGTTCATTATTTCCTTTAGAATATTGCATAGACTTGATGTGGGTCTAGTGACGCGTGAAACAACACGGATCATTTCCATATACAAGATTTTTGAATGCTTTCTAAATGTTTGCATCTGAAAAGATTTTTAAATGAACCCAAATTCCTAATTCATGTGACAATTGGCGAATTTTTTTTTGCTGTTTTAAATCTATGTAGGTATCTTTGTATCTGAAAGGGTTACAAATGACGCTGTTTTCAGAGCATGTGTTTCACTACAAGTAAATTTTGTTTGATGGCGGTCTTGGGAAAAGAATGACGGATGAGGCTTTTTAAACGGCAGTCCAGGGCTGATGGTGTGTCTCATCGCCAAGTGACGACAGGGATTGAGTGAGCAGTGTCGACTCACACGCTGACGACGTCGTGCGCAAACCCTTTAATGCGCGGTTGTCGTCGCTCTTGCCTCGTCCGTGTACACTCGTCACGATATATACGAGCTGTCGACGTTACGTCTGATGGCTTCGCGCGGCTCTGGTGACGACGATGACGACGACGACGACGGCAAGCGTCGAAAAGTCTGGTTCACCACTTTCGTTTTAGGCGCATTTGTTTATTTCAACGGAATCTAAATCACGAATCATAAAGCTTAACTTGTGATTAATTTCCTGCATTTACCTTTTAATTAAAAAGCGTGTCAATAATGCTCATAAATGATTGGTTTTATTCCCAAATAAAATTGTCTTGGGTTCTATTCTTCGGTTGGATTCGAAGAAAATTCATTTATATTTCATCGCTTCGCGGAAAGTAAATCTTTCCTGTTGCAATAGATCAACAGTTATATAAATGCAGCTCTAGATAATTTTTCTCGAGGGCAAAAATGTTTGAATTTCTTTTCCGCACAACCAAATAAAACAACACTTTTCGATGCGAATAAAAAAAGATATTTTTATTTTAAATTTTTTATTTTTCCTCGCATTCCCAATTAGTATATTCGTTTATTCATAATTTCCTGTAGAATATTGCATATACTTGATGTGGGTTTAGTGACGCGTGAAACAACACGGATCATTTCCATCTACAAGATTTTTGAAGGCTTTCAAAATGTTTGCATCAGAAAATATTTTTAAATGAACCCAAATTCCTAATTCATGTGACGATTGGCGAATTTTTTGTTGGCTGTTTAAATCTATGTATAGGTATCTTTGTATCTGAAAGGGTTACAAATGACGCTGTTTTCAGAGCATGTGTTTCACTACAAGTAAATTTTGTTTGATGGCGGTCTTGGGAAAAGAATGACGGATGAGGCTTTTTAAACGGCAGTGAAAACGTGGTATGGTGGAATGTTGTACTTGACACCGAGGGTGTCGTACGAGATGGAAATCAGTATTCTGACGTACTTCCTCTCGGTACTTGATACATATTCAAGTCAGGGCCAGTGACTGAGATGAATACGTCGTTATTCATTTATTTATTTTTCTGGTAGAACAGATACGCTGACAAGCGAACCAGTCGTTGGGCTGCATCAGAAAAAAATTATTGAATGTTCACAAGGGCGAGTCGCTTGTTTTGTGAGTTGCCTCCAAATGGAGGCATTATATTCGTAGTTGCGAACGTGGGTAGCATTTGTATGTTCTATTCGGTTCGATTCATTTGACGATATGCTTCTTTTTCGTCTTTATTTTTGAAGGACTTCATTTGTCGGTACCTGATGCAAGAAAATTCGAGTATTTCAATTCACATCTTTTTATCCAAAGATTTCATGGAGATCCAATTCCAAACTCTTATTACGACTGGTGCCTTTCATATATGGTGTAAAATTTATTGTATTGCAGTAGCTTGCTATAGTTTCATTCGCCTAATTAATGGACTTGTGCAGTTAAACCCCTATCCAGGAAAAATTCAATCGGATTTCTGAAGAAAATTAGGAAGCTTTTTCAAAGGAACATGTGTCTTAGTTCTACGTGTCCATAAATTATCCAAAATAAGCCAGGCAGGCAACTAGCTGAATTTTTTCGACCCAAGAATCCTGCCGAACACTGTTTTCATCGTGCCAAGATATGGTAAATTCTCGAAGAAACAAATCTCAGATTTACGTGATACCTTAGTACCAAGGGACACAATGTTTCATTGCTTGTAAGATAGTTAATTGAATGAGCACAAGGTTGACGATTTTTTTTTTTCATTTAATGGCTCAATCCATTTTCGAGCTTCTAAAGCTTACATAACTTTTTATTTATGTTTGAGGATGGAGACGAGTATATTGTAATCTACAAAATCCTAGTAAATTCTAACCCTAAAGAAACTTAATTTTAATATTTCCATGAAAGTAATGTTACCATGTATTTTTCCTACGGTTCTTCCTCCCTCAATACAGAATATTCGATTAAAGATGCAGGGTTTTGAGTTCATTTCGTTTACGACTTGGATTAAGTGTTCCAAAGGGGTATATGAAAAAATATTCGGTCAACTTTTTGTTTTATTATAGGTCATGTTTTCGTGAAAGCTCAAAATGTTGCAGTGTCTTCCGCAATTTATGACTGAATTGCAACTTACGCTCAGATCAGGCCAAGGCACTGTTTATAATGTTTTCGTGAATAAAAATAATTTATTATTCCAGTTGGATCCGATGGACGTGGGCACGGATAAGGGTTTCACATTCACCTCACCAAATTGGCCGCAAGAACCACGACAACCAATTTCTGTTCTTGGTCCGAAATCTCCGGATCATCCTGCTTCTTCTTTTTACTACGCTGGAATCACGGAACTGCCGAAAATTGCCAGTTTGAAATTAATCAAGGTGTGTGTCTAAAATGCTCGAACGTTTAGAGAAACGTTTTACTACAGAAATTTCCGCGGGAAACGCATTTCTTCGACCCTTAAATGTTGCGTCCAATGTCACAAAAATTTGTATACGAATAGAAAACGTTTTTTTTTCGAAAAATTAATAAAAAAATTCTGGTTATGTCTCACATATCTGATGTCTTGTATTTTCGGGTAAACTTTGGTGCATAATTTCTCCAAACCAACGAATCGAATGCAGTCAACAATCGATTGAATCCAGTTCGGTTTTCAGGGTCTGATTTTTCTTGCGAACGTTTGCCAATATTGAGCTGGTAACTGAATCATAAGTTAAATCAGAAGATTCCTCAGAATATCTGAATAAGTTCTATTTCATATTTTGTGATCGAGACTTGCATTATCAGGTAAGAACTAATTTTCGGACACCAAAGATGCGCGTCTTTTGTTCGATGGCCACCTTTCATATTTCATTTTCGAGGTTTACAAAATGAGAACTCTGAAAACTCGATTAAGGTTTCGCAAATGAACGCGAGAATAGTATGCTGCCCTTTTTGCATCACGAAAGGCTGACGATTTGTCCCACAAAATGTTGGTTCTTTTGCTAAAATATTTCCAGAACAGAGTCTCAATTTCTTTTTGAATTTTCTAGGTTCAAGAATACAAACTCCTGGATTCTTCCCCTACTCCGGCAGCTTTGAGAAATCATCAGTCTCCCGAGTCGGAATTGGACGTAGTTTCTGTTCGGGTTAAAGACAACGACGTGGTTTACGAATCCGTGAAAACAGTTTCTGTACACTTGCCTGTACATGGGAAAACCTCAACTAGCAGACATCAATTGATAGACGCCGACAAAGGCGGAATGAATCCGATTCTGGTGACCAAAGATGACCCGGCATCCGGGTCCATTCTTGGCCTCTCATCGGGAGATCATCCGGATCGGAAAAAGCCGGCTGTTGATGTGGCCAACAACAAAATCGACGATGACGACTATGAATCTAATTATGTCGAGGACGGTTTCGGGACTTTGTCTACCGATTCCAACAGGTTTTCTCAATTTTATTGTGTACGCATTGATGCAAGTTGATCAATCATTTGTATCAACAGCTCAAACTCCGTTGATTATCTTTCTGGTGTGAACACGGACTCGAAAACCGCATTGGACTTGTTGGAATTGTATGCGAAGAAAAAGCGACTCAACATGAAGAGAAAGCTGCGCCGTTGTAAGGAAATTCCTTTTAGCGGGTTTTCAAATTGAGAGTGGATATTTGAAGAAGGGCACCTTACGATTAATTTTTCAAAGCTTGAATGCATTTATTCCTTCTACTCTGAAATCATCCCCAGTTAAATTTCGGATCCCCTCAAGATCTTCCATATTTTACCCTGACACGACATTAAACGCAAAGATCGAATCAGTATGATTAAGACGAGAGAATGGCATAATACCAAGGATAAAGTGCAAAGAAAAAAAAACAAATGTGTGATGAACTTACGCAATACATCTTTTGAAACTTATCTATAGTAACTTCCTTTTCTGGTGCATATTTGAATCCATTTTAATCTTCATCTTAATTAAAAATGATTACTCAGTTGGATTTTTTTAGAATACAGGAACTGACTTCATAGGGCCGGTTTGTGGATTTAAAAATATTATTCCAAAGCAAATCTCTGACAAAAATGGCGAAAAAGGAATCGCAGTTATTGATTTTCTTGTGATAAAGAATAAAAAGCATGTTATTTTTTGCGCTTATATGCTCATATACCAAAAATCATCAATAATGTTCACGAAAATTTCGGAATCCAGATAATTTCTCCGGATTTGATTATGTTTACATTTATTATGATTTGTAAATGAGTTAACATTTGATCGAGGATTATAAATGAATGCATAACACGGTACAGTACTGTGCTTTTATTTTTAATTCATGAGTATATATGTTGTTCACCCAAAAGTTTCCAATTCATGATTTCTTGTTCGTTCATTTTTTCTGTACTGTATATTTTAACCAAAAAAGTTTTGATCAAACGGATGATGTGTGGAATTACATTCAACAAAAATTATAGACTGAAAAAATATTGGAAATACGGCGTTTGCAGGCAAAAAGTGAGATCATATTCTCCATTATTGTAATGCGCTCAATGCGAAATTTGTCTTTCTGTTGATTTCTTCAAGTTAAGCAGAAGGTTATTATTGGTAATTATTATTTGGTATCTGTTACTCATTTGTGGTTTTAAATTTCCTCAGATCGTTCAAGGCATTGCGTGGTATCAGAATGGACCTCGTGGCGACCATGCAGCAAAACATGCGGAATTGGCGAGACTGTCAGGACAAGAAGTGTGATTCGGCACGCCAAACCCGGCGGTCGACCGTGTCCGGCTCTCGAGGAACGTAAATGGTGCGGATCACAGCGTGATTGCAATTACAAATATTTCAACTGGAACTCAAAGAAGCTGATTTGAAAAGAAAAACGCTCTGCAAAACCACGTTTCGTAAAGGATAAAATGCGGGGTTATATGCAAGATTTCGATACGAGAAAAAAAAACCAAGAAGATTGCTGGCGGTAGATTGCAGTAGTTAAGGAAAATTAAGGTTTTGAGACGCGACGTGCTTTGCTTATTTTTGTGTGGGTTGTGGGGTCGGGATTTTCCGGACGAATACCTGGTGTACACTTTTGTAATTCCCAATTTTCCGTTCCCGGGTGGGTTCGCTTTTTTTTTATAAATTAAAATATTTTGATATTTTCCTCAAGCCCCGGGTTTTTACCCGGGTGAACGGAAAAGGAAAAATGTTGGCATCCCGGAGTTTCATGAACTCTGGAAGATGCTGTGATCTCAGTTGCTGGTTACGGAAAAAGAAAACATTTTGTTTTTCTCCTAGAGCTAACTTGGAATTCCGCTCTTAATTTGTATAAAAAAACACTATTGTCCTGTTTTAGCAACTTACTCATTTTTGTGGATTGAGATTTTGAAAAAAATAGCGATGGCTTTTTTACGTTGCTGGTTTTTTTTCGCAAAGCTGTAATTCCTTATGGAAACGATGCATTTTTTTGTACCGTTGATGGCAATACTTATATGTGTGTAGAAAATAAATGGTCGAAAGAGTTTGGCATGCAAATATGCACCGTACTCGTTCAATGATCACAATTCGGTTTCATTTATTTGATGGTCGTGTTATTAATTGAATGCAATCAACCTCCTGACTTGGCTAGAATTCTTTATCTCAATTATTTCTTCCCTTTAGTTTTGAACTTAGGATATAAAATTGCCTTTTAAATATTGATGGTTAGCTTAAAGAAATGAAAATAATTTGTATCTAAATGTTCTCGGTGATTGTTCCCTTCATTATTGAGATGTACAGTTAAGTATCGTGCATTTTTCTTGTTTTAGTAATGTTGGTTTGTGGTCCTTCAATTAAATTCGATAAATTCCCGGTTGCATAGGTGATGAGGTGTCGTTAGTCAAGTTTGATATTTTAAAGGTGTTATAGTTTGATAAGTGATCCACACGACAGCTGTTCCTTTGCAGTTTTTAATGCTGCATTAGTTTTTCAATTTTGATAAGAACTGATTTACCGGGTAAATAAAAGTTGTTTTATTGTTATTTCAGGTGTTGAAGCTGAACTTCGAACTTTTTTTAGCAGCTCTCTCCTACACAGTTCGAGAAAAATCGCCCCGGGAAATTGTTTTAGAAAATAAGTTCCCTCTTTATTGCCAAAGAAAAACTTTGATGCAACACGAGCCCTTCTGAATCAGCAACGAGCACATCTCGTTTCCAAAGTAAAAAAAAAAAAAAAAACGTTTCAGCGAAGATAGTACGAAGTTCTCAACCACTTTCCCATTCAAGTTGCATGCAATGTGTATTTTGCCGAAGGGGGTTTTTCTTCGAACCATTGAGAAAATTGTGGGCAGAAAAGGCGAAGTTTCTGTGTGGGGTCTATATACCCGCAACAGCAATCTCTGTCCAATTTGCATTTGATTTCGCAGATATAGTGCTTTCCGTGTTATTTGGCGGGAACCACGAAACACTTTCGCATTCCTAGCGGCGTATTTTCGTGTGCACATCGTTTCGATGAGCAACGCCTGCGTTTTCTTGAAATAAAAGTTGCGGGGCTTTCTTCCGTAAATTTAGGCAATAAAGAAGCCATATCTCAAGGTTTCAAGTTATTCAGAAATAGGGTGAACGAGGTTCTGTTAATGAGCCTATAAATATTTCTAGAAAATTCTCACATCCCAGAATATTTTACGAAAGCGGAACCACGGGAGAATCTTTTTCATACAGTCATCTTCGAGTATGAATGAAAAACAACAACAAAATTACGAATCATAGAAATATGGTGATCATGAAGAATTATCTCGGAAATAATGAGTCATGACATATGAATGATAAAAATTCAAGGAAGACTACAAGTTTATTGCAGACACCTGAACATTATTTGATTCAGAAATTTTATTGACGCGCTTAATTTTCTGGATTATATACGTTATTAAACTTAACTTCTTAACAGGAGATATTTCTGAAATTCTTGCTGGCCCATGGTAAAATTGTTATGCGCACTCGAACAATTCTTATGGAACATATTTTTCTGAGTTAACTTCAAAGTGGTTCGATATCGATTGATATTCAATATCAATCGTTTAGTGATTGTACAGTATATTTAAAAATTTTCTTTCCTGTGAAAAAAAGTGCTGAGGGAATGAAAAAATCCCTTGAATGCTGATTCACGTCAAACCGCACGATGAGAGGAAATTTTTAAAATGTTCATTTTCGGTATGAAAAAGGTTTTTTGGAGAAACTAACCAATTTTTGATAATATATGCGCATAATTTTCGAAGCACTTCCAACATTTTCGAAGTTGTGTAACAATTTCGTGGGTGTCTGAAATCCAATGGGATGATGGGTTCGAAGTACGGGAACTTTACTTGACGTAATCCAGAGTTAAAATTTAAAATCCGTTGAAAAATTAGTGTAGGAATTAAGAAGAAAATTGTACGCTTAAAATATAGTGTTGACGAACGCTCAGAGGCTTGTTACCTGAAAAATTTTAAAGCATCGTCAACCAAATACGAGAATGGCATAAATCTTGAATATTTCGAAGGTTGATGCTTGTATTTTGTTCATTAGTCAAAGAAAATATTCGACAAAGACGTGCATTGTCGAAAGCTGTAGAAAACAGAGCATCATTAAAATGAAAATAAAGATGGATTTTCATTTTATGTTTTTGGGGCTCCAGCTTTTCTTCAGAATTTTAAACGAAATTTCTTTTCCGGAGAATCAAATCCAACGAAAGGAAGCTATAGGAGCAAGTGATAGAAAAAGTTTCATCGGACCAGAAAGCTTAAAAGGATTTCTTGTACCGGTAATGCACATGTTTCCGCAGATTACGCATTTCCTGTCTATTTCAACAGATTTATCGCCATTATAAGAAGTTGAGGGATTCAGGTGCAAGTCACACGGATTTCTGCGCTTCGCAGCATTTCTTCATCTGATCTGTGTCGACCATCAACATTCTGAAATTTCGTAGAATATCAGCAATTAACAGAATTTTGATCACTTTCTTCCGGCGATCAGCATGGAATGACGCTTAAAGGTTTTTTGGCAATCAATTTTCATCAAATGTGTAAATTCTTACGTTAGGGTAACCGGATTTCCTGGAACTGTCCAGATTTATTTTTAATTTCATTAAAAAAATCACTGGAATATTTCGACGCAAACCTTTTCTCCCGCGAGAACGGGATTAAAAATTCAGAATAAAATTAATTCACGAAGGTTTATCGATCTAAATCTAATATAAATCTAAGAAGATCACAAATTAATTGACGCACTCAGATGAAAATTTCACTGCATGATGCGGACGATATATTATTTTTTTAATATTTGCGGTGAGAAGACCCATAATAAGTCATTCAGAAACTATTTTCTTCCACCGATTTCTCAACCTTTCTAGTTTAGTTTTTAAATAGTTTATTCTTTCCTCTATACTCGTCCAATCCAAGAAACTAAAGATCATCATCCCGCAAGAATTATAATTTCAAAAAGATTTGGGTTAGTTAGTGACATTACATTTGAAGCAAAATTCAACCTAATGAGCCTCGTCTTTGAAAGTTTGTAAAATTTGCATGTGATTCTGAAAATGAATCAGAAGAAAGCTTATTTTATTTTGAGTTCAAAAGTGAAAAAAACCTGTTAATCCTTGATGAAACCAAATTTGGGCATCGGTGAAGGGATTTTTTAATGTTTAATGGTTATGTGTTGAAAGTTTCAGCAGAGATCCTTCTAACTATAGCTCCACAGACGAAGTAAAATAATCTTCGTTTATCATAATCCTTTTTTTCAAAAATCAGAAAAAATGAATGATCTTCGCAGTACAGTTCAATCAATTAAATTCAGCTTTCAGTGATCAAGAAATACAGTTGCCCATTCAGTCGTCCTCTGAAAGAAATCTCTCGCCTTCACTCTGATCGCAGAAAAGTTCGAAGCACCTAAAACCATGAGAAACGATTAATTTGCGAAAAGAGCCCTCGAATGTATAAATTCACAACACGAACTAGATTTCAAATAATCCAGGAAGAAGACGTTTGACAGCACGTGGAAATCGCTGGCTTTGTAAAAGTTGTCTGGATCGGACACCAAGGAATACTCTACAAGATAAGTCTCCAAGCATCTGAAAAAAATACAAGAATCTGACAGTATTGCTTCTTTCATGCTTGCAACATTTCATTTTCAGGATCTTAACCTGGTTTTAATTTTCTTGTCGCTCCACGTCAGGATTCCATTTAAAAAGTTTTCATCGAATCTTCGGACTTTGAGATTTTCTATCTACAGTATGAAGGTTTTTGGAGTTATCACAAGACCTCGATTAGTCAATTTACGAAATTAAGTCCTTACGAACCTTGCCAATAATTCCGGCTTTCGAGCAAATTTGTATCAACGTCACGGATGGTGTTCTAACAGTGACATCTAGTTTCAAGAAGTCTAACCCCACTTGTTTCGGTTTTGACTTCGGTCGGAGACCCTTTATGCGTGAAAGAAAATATTGTACGTGAATCCAGGATATTGAAAGTAAATTTCTGGAACCTTCCTCGAATGTTTGTATATCTTCGCAATTTAAGGAATATGCATGAGTTTTAAATGTATTTAAATCACAGAAAAGGAAACAGGGATGTTCGCATTTCGTAGCAAAGCCTGCGAAAAGTTGAACAATAATTTCGGATTTATTGGAGAATTTAAGCTGGAAATTCCGTGGGGCTAGCAGATTATAAGAAAAATTCAGATCAGTACTCTAATATTAGCCTTTATCTGGAGAAAATTTGAAATAATTATTCAATATTTTAAGCATCCGATGATAACCTCAGATTTTCTCATCAACTGAACAAGATTTTCATTCATTTG